TGTTAGAACAGAAGGCAAACTTCAAGTACAGGAAGATAAAGCATTTCTTAGTTCCTGGCTTTTGGGTGTGTCTTGCTCTGTCATAATGCTATGTTTTATTGCCAATAAAAGCAACCTTTAAACAGTACAATTGCTTATCCTAAATTTACAGCCTAGTAAAATGAATTATCACTCCATAGACTTCACTAATGAAAAAAGGAACCAAGGCTTGTCATTGCTGAGGTAGTCAATCTATATAGCCTGCTTAGGCTACACCACTTTGAACTGAACTGGGTTGGGTGGGATGTCACAGGATGAAATGTTCCCCTATGCCAGGGATTCCCAAACTGCAGTCTATGGACCACCAGTGGTCTGCAAACATTATTCAGGTGGTGCATGGTGAACCTGTTAAAATGCAGTTTAAAACCATGTAGCGTCTAGCACAGTGCATTATAATGACTGCAAGAGGCGGAAAGATCATGACGTGGTCAGCAAATGTCAAGTGGTCCATTGGAGAGCAGTAGAAATTGGAATTCACTCTTCAGTGCAAAATAACATTTTGAGGAAAGGCCATCGCCAAGTGGCAGAGCATGCTTTGCGTGCAGAAGGTCCCAGGTTCAGTTCCCGTCATCTCCATGTAGGGTGGGGAGAGACTCCCTCAAAACCTGAAGAGCCACTGTAACTCACCGCTCATCCAGACTTCCTTTTGCACAGCACATTCCAGGCACAACTCTGTGCTTTAAAGCTGCGTGTTGGAGTGGTTTTGTTTTTTGCTTTGGTCTCAGTGCTTTCCCCAGGAAAACACATCTTTTGCCCCTGAATCACAGCAAAAGCCCAGTTGCATTTGCTCCGATTCAATGGTAAAAGGTGGGTTTCCCTGGGGAAAACCGCAGGACAAAACCCCCAAAAAAGCCACTGCTCAGACATGGAGCTTTAAAGCCTAAGAAAAGTGGCACAAAAGGAAGTCTGGATGAGCCCTTAGTGTAGACAGCAATGAGCTAGATTATCAAAATAATGTTGCATGCCACCCCAATCTCTGAGTAGCGCAAGATTCCAGGGGCTCCAGGCGTTCACCCATGGCTCGTGTTTCCTTTTGGAAATGAGGCACAGCGGAGACTGTGCTGTCTTTAGGATGTATGGTTTATTTGCATATATACACACACACATACACACATACAACCTGAGCCTATGATGGAGGGGCTCACAGCATTAACACACCAAGAAGGTTTTGCTTCTTCCATGGCCACAGTCTTGGATGCCAGCAGAAACCAGCCACTACTCTCCCTAGAGCCATCCGACACAGATTCCCTGTTTTCTTAATGTCTTATCACCTTGCTTTTGTTAAATTAGTGACTCATACTTAGTGGCCATTTTCATGCTGACCTGGCTGTTCCGGCAATTGAATCCCAGCTGAAGCTGGGGATTCTGGGGGCTTGATTAAATTCTAACACTTACTAAATCCAGGAATTATGGGTAATCTGGCACCCCCAAAGCCCAAGTTCTTTGTTCTCCGTCACAAAGGCAAATCCTAAATCTCAACTATCATTTAAAAAATGGGTCATCTTCCTGACTTGTGACTGATCACATTAAATTATCTAAGAGACAAACTCAATAAAACTTTGTGCCTGGTCTGGATTTTATATAAAACCCTTTGGTATAAGACAACAGATGCCCTGCAGCTTATGTTGGAGAACATTGAATCACCGTGACCTGGACTGCAGGGAAACCTATTTGCACAGACAGGCCCTTAATTTCACTGACGTCAATAGGCGTAAAATGAGATTTTAACAGTTTAGCTGAACCCAGTTATGGGTAAACTCATGAAAAGCTATATATTAGCCCTATGTCTGCATACAAAGCAATCAAAGCTAATTAGAAATAATACTTAGCATCTGTGTAGCGCTTTCAAATGTTCACATGCTTCATGTGCATTATCTAGCTGCAATCCTTACAACAACCCTGTCAGGTAGTATTATTGTCACCCATATTGCTCAGAGAGTAGCTTGCCCAGTGAGTTCATGGCAGAGGCAAGATCCAAACCATGGGTTGTGATATTTGTAGCTTACAACATGATCCAGTATAAATCTACTCAGAAGTTAATCCCGCTGAGTTCTATGAAACTTTCTTCCCAGCCAAGTGTGACTGTGTCTCTGATGCCTTACACAAGATCAGTCCTCTTAAAACAATTTAGTTCAGCAATTCCCAAACTGCTTTCCTCTACAGAGCACTTGAACGTTGTTGAGAGTTTTGGTGGAGGACTTAATCATTTTTCTGCCTGTTGTAGCGACTGCAGTTCTCTGTGCTAGGTGATTTGCAATTGCATTTTATTGCTTCTGTTTCTTGAATTGTATTTTATTGTATCGTAATAACGATGTACTTTGCCCTGAGTTGCTTAGGCAGCATCCACATGACACTTTCACGACCTTTCCCTAACTGTTAATTCCACATTACATTTGAGCACAAACACTTGTGCTCATTGTATTTGAGCACAAACACAACATAAAAGGCACTTCTGAAACTATAGTGGAATACCTGCACAAGTTTAGCAACCATTTCCATATTATTTGCAGGTGGGGTGTGGTTGTTGTTGTTTTTTTGAAGCAAATAACACTGAAATTAGCACGTAACTTGCACACTATGGTTCCAGAACATAAACACAAAATGCATTATAAAATCAAGAACGAAAGCAAAACAAACCAATAACACCACCCCATAAGAGGGAAGGACAGTTAAACTAGTATACATACCTATGTTGCCTGACCCCCGATTATAGGTGGCATCCCACTAAATTCTACTCAGAGAAACCCATTAAAATGAATGAGAATGACCAACCGAGGCCCATTAATATAAGTGGGTTGCACTGAGCAGAACTTGGCAGGATGCAATCCCCCGTGGTGAGCTAGGGAAGGTAGATGTGATGGCATTGAGTGTTCTTTCCAGTTCGGTGACTCTGTAATTGTATGATTGCAAGATTGGGGTCCGGGCAAGAGTCTGCTAAAGCAGTCGGACATGAGTTTACCCAAATAGCTGCACGTGTCTCCTTTGTCCAGAAGATTGTGAGATTGCTATCAATAGCTGCCTTTTGAATGACTGGAAAATTCCTGACAAGGGGGAGATCTTCCCCTGCATAGAAGCAGAGGATGTTTCAGACCGGGGTGTGTGTGTGTGAAGCACAGGGGATCATTTTGAGCCAGGCTGAGGATAGGCAGAGAGCTGAAGCTTTGGGACAAACAGTATTTACTGATGCTGTCTGTCTGTCTGCCTGCCTGCCTGCCTGAGTATTTACAATAAAACAATGAACAGGATGGTGATACAATGACTACTGCAATTGACACAAGATAATATCACCAAGGCAACTATCTGTAAACAAACAATAAACATCCATAAAAATGGCAAATAGTTTCTTTCCCAAAACAGAAAGAGGATGAGGTCCTTTAGTTTGTGAAACCTCCTTTAACAAACTGAAGGACATCATCCTCTTTTTATGCTCCTCCCGATGGAAACATGCCGATGGGGATAGATATACCCCTGCTTTAAGTCATTTACATATTGTATATTACTTACTACAAGGTTTGATGACTAAGCTCTTTAGCAACAAACCATTGGATTACTGGAACTACGTCCAAACACGGAACCACTGGTATATCACAAGTGGATTCTCTATTACTATGTTTGCAATCGTTCAAGATAAAATCTATTTTGGAAAGAGAAGAAATGAACACTGATGTATTACAAGTGAACTCTTTATTTATTGTGCTTGCTATTAAGATAAAACCTATTTGGGAAAGAAACTACTTTTGCTGTGGCACCCCAAAACGGGACGTTCTGATTTTATCAGGACAGTTGAGGGGTCTGGGATACGCTCTGAATATGTGGTATATATTCAGCTCCAGTTGAAGATAAGTAATGCCTTCTGTGCAAATGTTTGAAAAACTTCTCAAGAGCAAATACAGTTGGGAGAACAAAGGGCTCGGGGGAAATAGATGACTTCTATCAGAATTCAATAGCAAAGCATTAAAGTTAAGAATATAGAGCCAGGATGTGCTTCCTCTTACTGAATTTACAAGAGGCTGCCATGGATACAGACCGCTTGTCGGGAACCACTGAACGTAAGTCTCCACAATTTATATTCAGAGAGGGAAACCTGCAGATAAGGTTGCCCATATTGACAAAGTCGGGGAGATGGAGATTGTAATGAGCAGACGGCTCAGCTGCAAATGGAACTGTATGCAAAAGGCTGTAAAAAGCAAAGCCCCCCTCCCCTTCATGTAACATCATCATCATCATCAATAATTGAATGTATAGCTTGCCCTTCCTCTTCAAGGAACAAACACATCCACAGCAAAATTACTTTAAAAACAAGCATTCTAAAAACAGCTGAAAGAGTTACAGTTAAAACATTCTAAAAAGAGTTAAAAACATTCGGTCACCCCGTGATCTCAGGGTTCCCAGGATCAATCATCTTCAGCCATCAAATGCCTGGGCAAACAGGAATGCTTTTCACTTCCTCCTGAAAGTCAGTAGCGAGGGAGACAGACTCATCTCACCAGGGTGGGCATTTCACAAACAGGGAACCACCACCAAAAAGGCCTTGTCACAAGTCAATGACAACCACACAACCCTCAGTGATTGTAGAGTTGAACCCGCTGATTGTAGAGTTGAACTAGATATTTAAAGTTTTATTTCAAAATATTTCCAGGCTGTTCCCAAGCAATGACCGGAATGGTTTAACCAGCCCTCTTCCCAGGAAACTCTGGGAATTTCAGCTCTACAACAAAATAAAATGGGAATAAAGTGGCAAAAATTCCCCACACTTAGAAAAGTAGCTTAGCTAGGAATGTGCTGGCCTAGAAGCTGTCTCCTTATTGTACTAGTTTTCGCCTTGAAGGGAATAATTCAAAAATGGTGCTCCCAGCTGTAGTTTGAAGTAGTACCATCCATTCTACCTTATTATGTTGCCTTTGGAAAACTCCAGACCTGAGTTCAATTGTCTGAGTCCTTCATGTTTTGTTTCTTTCCAGAGGTAACCCAGATAAGTGTGACATTTGGGGGAACACTCCCCTCCACCACGCTGCCGCGAATGGCCACGTCCATTGCATAACATTCTTAATCAATTTTGGTGCCAATATCTTTGCCCTGGATAATGACATGCGTTCTCCTCTGGACGTGGCTGCCAGCAGGAACCAATACGAATGTGTCCGGATTCTCGACACTGCCGCTACTGAGCAGAACCTCAAGAATCCCAAGAGAGTCTCTCAGCTCAAGACCCAGGCTCGGCGCAATGCAGAAAGGCAAATCCACGAATGCGAACTGCGTCAGGAGAAACATCAACACGAAATGGCCAGGAATTTCAGCAAAGGATCCATGCATTCAAAGAGGGGGACAGCCACAAGGATGAAAGTCTCCAGTTTCTTTGCATCCACTTCACTGGGCACGCTGCCCCAAAAGATGAAAGACACCTTCACGCGAAGGATGAAAAACAAAGAGGAGAATCTCAATGGTCAAGAAGCAAATCCCCAAGAGGGAGGTACCCCAGCTGGACGAACCACCGTGATGGATGTGTTCAATGAAGAAGACGAGGAAGACCTGGCCAAGGACTTCCAAAGAAAAAACGGCATTTCTGAAGATGAAGACGAGTTGGGCCAAAGGTCCATCTTCCACCGGCCAGGTCTTGGCAACATTGTATTTAAAAACAACTTGCCCACCATGGGCAAAAACTTTGACGCGGTGATGCTCGAGAAAGAAGGCACCAGCTTCAAAATGCCCGATGAGTTGCTTCAGTTCAAAGAGCCTGAAGATGACGGTGGTGACGCAGATGTGGAGAACAATCCAGAAGAATCTTGGATCGAAGAGGAAATCAGGTGGGATGACGGGAAAGTGGAGACCACCCCCCTGGAGGTGTTTTTGGCGTCCCAGAACCTGAACGAATTCCTTCCCATCTTGATGAGGGAAAACATTGATTTAGAGGCCCTCGTGCTTTGCTCGGATGAAGACCTGCGGAGCATTCAGATGCAGCTAGGCCCAAGGAAGAAAATCCTTCATGCAGTTGACAGAAGAATGCAGGCTCTAGCAAACCCAGGCAAGGCTGGGGATACGCAGTTATAAACCATGAAGTTCCTGTGTTGCAATAGCTCCACCAAAACCGCTGCAGGGTGCAGCTGTTGCAATGTGACTGCACCCTGCAGGGTGTTAGATCAGGGATGAGGAACCAGTAACCATTCATCTGTTGGACTCAAACTCCCTTCAGCTTGGCCAGTGAGTTGCAGTCCAGCAACAATTTGAAGGGACACAGCTTCCTCATTCAATGTGTTTAGATTCTAGACAGCAGGGGATTGATTTGAGCTTTTTGAAGCCATGGTGCAACTTAACAGGTTCAACTGCGGTCTGCATGGTGATGGTTTTAGTAGCTCAGATACATGCATAGGACTGGTTCCTACAAGGGGACAGAGTACCGCCACTTCTGTGATCATAAGAGCAATTAAGGTTTCTACAGGTGATCTTTATTTGGAAAAGCGTCGCGTGAAGAGACAGGAGCAGAAGGCGGTCATACATACGAATGAACCCCATATTATTATTGCTAATATTATTATTTATTAAATTTCTATGCTGCCCTTCATCCGAGGATCAGAGGGTGGTTTACAACACAAAAGCACAAAGCTACATAGCATAGTAACAAACAAAAACAATACCTGCACCCAGTTTAAAAGCTTGTAGATTGTTTAATTAGCCAAAGGCCTGGGAGAAGAGGAATGTTTGTGGTACAAGTTCCAGAGTGGTTTAACAATCAATCTTTCTTCCAAGGGAAATCAGGGAATTGTAGCTGTGTGAGAGGAATAGGGGGGTCTCCTACGAGCTCTTCACTTAACAGATTACACTCCCCATGATTCTTTGGGGGAAGCCATGACGGTTTCAAGTGGTATGATACTGTTTTAAATGTCTAGTGCAGGTGGGTCCTCACATTCCCATCCAGACTCTTCTAATGTGAATGTGTTTGTTAACATGCACATCTATGTATTCTCCAAATCCTAGTGATGAAACTCTAAAATGACACCATCCATGCAGCCGCTAAAATAATTTCAGTCAACACAGAGAGGGGAAAGGTAGGTTGATTGATGTGTGCTGGCAGGTTTCAGGTTATTTGCTTCTTTGAGCAAGTGCGCAGAGCTTCCCTAGGGAAGCCCACTTTAAAACACAGCAAGCATATATCTTCCCAGTACATGAAAATGAGATGTCATTCCATGTGACAGCCACTGTAATAACCAGCCTTTGTTCTCATGCAGTATATTTAAGATGGTGAAACCACCGCTGATTTATATCAGGCAAATAAAATTGGAAGTTACAAAGCTGCCTTATACAAAGTCATTTGGTCTGTCTAGTTGGTCTGTTGACTCTGATGCTATCAACACTCAGAGGTCTCAGGTGTTGCTCTGATTATTGGGGAAGGAGGGAGGCTTAATGAAATCCACAGACCCCCCCCTCCATGACACTTCTTAATTTTAGTCATAACTTCCAAAAACACAGGCAGGGGCGGAGGAAGGGGGGCGGGGGCAGGCCGCCCCAGGTGTCAGCACTGAGGGGGTGACAAAATGGCGGGTGGCACTCACCGCAGGGCCTGCAGCATGTCCGAGCCACGCGTCTCTCCTGGGAGTGACATGGTGGCTTGGGTGCCCGTAGGCTCTGCACTGCCCCAAACAGTCCACCCACCACCTCCCCCTCAGCTATAGGGTGGCTGAGTGGGAGGAGGCAGGCAGACTCCTCAGAGACCCCGCAGAGCATCCTGCCCTGGCTTGCCTCGCTCCGCAGGTGGCTGGCCCTGCCCCCGGGTGTAGGGCACGCCCACTGCCCATGGCGCCTAATTGGCTTGCTCCACCACTGCCACTGCCCCCATTTAATTCAAGCACTGAATGTGAGTAGCGAAGGATTGATGTTCTGGTCCAAGTGATGTCTTCAGCAGCAGAAGTATTCTAGCAGGTGTGAGATCACAGTAAATGTTCCAGGTATGGGTAAGCAGAAAAGGCAAAGCAGGGCAGAGTCCAGCTTCCAGAAATGCAAAGCAGAAGAAAACAAACAGATACTTGCTTCTGGTAATGCAAAAAAAGGTAAGAAAAAGGAAAACAAAGACACATCCCTACCATACATGTAATGCATTGAAAGCGCCTGGCTTCCCCTTGCAGAATCCTGGGAGTTGAAGTTTGCTACTCAGTTACAATTCCCAGGACTCTTAGCAAACAACAGTTCCCATGATTCTCTGGGGAGAAGCCAGGCACTTTAAATGTACAGTCATACCTCATGTTACATTTGCTTCATGATACATTTTTCAAGTTGCGTCATGCGGCGACCCAGAAGTACTGGAAAGGGTTACTTGTGGGTTTCGCACAGACATGTAAAATGACGTCACGCGCAGAAGCGGCGGATCGCAACCTGCATGTGCGCAGACGTGCCGCTGTGGGTTGTGTTCTATTCATGTTGCGAATGGGCCTCCGGAACAGATCCCGTTCGCAACCAGAGGTACCATTGTATAGGGTGTATGTAGCCCAAGAGAACACGGAAGTTCAGGTTGCAGATAGCACCTTGGACAGCTCCATGAGGAATTCAAGCTGGAGACTCAGAGCAGCAAGGCTCAAATGTTGCTTCAGCAACAAGCAGCCTCAAACTGAGTGTTAAGTAGATCTGTACCTCAGGCTGGAAGGTTGGCAGCGCCTCTGAGGAGAGAAGCCTCTTCACTTAACAGGGTCTCTCCAAAGATGGAGAGTCAGACCCTGGGATCACAACAGACCTCAGAAAACAAAGCATTGCAAAGATGGAGGCCAGGCTGCCTTCTTCAGCAAGTATAAAATTACAGAGGGACATAGAGGCAGGAAGCCATGGGGATGAGTTCTCAGGCCCCTATAGCCTTTTGAAACAATAGCTAAGACAGCTGTCACAAAAGGTATCTGGGCCAGGACTCTGGTAATTGGACCCCTGGACTCGGGCAGAAGCTTTTCCCAGCTCTGCTGCCTCAGATATAGTAGCCAGGTGAGCCAAGAACTTAATATGGAGCCTTCTACATGCTGAGCATCTGCTCTACACCTGAACTGCAGGTCTTCTGCAAGTTGGCTGTAGCCCAGAAGCCCCAGGAGGAGGAAGGCAAGGTGATCAGCCTCAGGTGTGATGAAGTGTACAAACAAATGAATAAAGTCAAGGTCTTTGGAATGCAATCAAATGCAAAGGGACAAACTTGAAGTCCAGATGATGAAAGACAGTTACCAGAGATGTATTTTGAATAAACTGCCTTTGTTCATTGCTGCAGGGTAATTAGTATTTGAGAGACAAATTTAGTCTGCATAGCCAGTATGTTACAATTTAGTGATATTACATACTGTGTTTGCATGGTGATGCTGTGAAGTACATAGGGGTTTTTTTGGGGGGGGGGTGTTGTTGGTGTACATTCTATTGGCTACCAGGCATAGACCTTTTCATTTTCTTTTTGCAAAGTTTTCAAATTCCTACAGACCTACATTATAGAAATATATTGTGTTCATTTCCAGTGATGGCCAAACTTGGTAGAGCACAAGTCTCAGTTGGTAGAGCACAAGTCTCTTAATCTCAGGGTAGTGGGTTTGAGCCCCACATTGGACGAAACGTTCCTGCATTGCAGGGGGTTGAAATAGATCAGGGTTTCCCTAACTTGGGTCTCCAGCTGTTTTGGAACTACAATTCCCATCATCCCTCACCACTGGTCCTGTTAGCTAGGGATGATTGGAGTTGTAGTCCCGAAACAGCTGGAGGGCCAAGTTTGGCCATCACTGATTTAGACCTTGACTTCATTTATTTGCTTGTATCCATTGATTGGTCAGAGATCATGCCCTCCAGGTTTGATAAAGTGAACTCCACAACTGGGAGCCCACAGTCCTCCAGTTGTTGCCAAACAACAATTCGCTTCACCCCGACCATTACCCATGCTGGCTGGACTGATTGGTGTTGGAGTTCAGCAACATCCGACAGGCACCAGATCCCCCATCACTGTCAGGGGTAACCACTCTCTTGCCACCCAGCCATATGCTTGAGCCCCTAGTTGGCAACTGGCATCCTTCAGCACTGCCCACCAGCCATTAGAGCATATCTGCATCAGCATAACATTGTTGTTTGAGATCAGTTGGCTTCTTCAGGCTGTTAGTAAGGCTGTAAAGATCAGGTTGGCTAAAAGACACTCCATGCACACATGGGAAATAAAAGTCAAGCTGGGTCTGAAATTTTAGAACAAAACAAGCACCCTGCAGAGGGAGACCCTAAGGCCTACTGATAAGACTTCCATGAAAATGGTCCCCTCTCCTCTCAAAGCCATATGTGCCAGAGGTCATCCTTGCAACCTATGGCAGTGAATGCCACATATAAATTAACTGTTCTGCAAAGAAGGGCTTTTTGTTTGTCCTGAATATCCTGCCAATTAGTTTAATTGGATGACCCTGGGTTCTAGTATTCTGAGGGGAGGGGGACATCTCTCTATCCACTTCTTAAACACCATGAATTATCTTGAAAACCATGGCATGCACACCCTCTCCACTTCTTGTGAAAACACCAAATGCTGATATGTTTGGAATAAATCTGATCAAAATGCAAATAACCATTTTATCTTGTAGCAAAATTCAGTAGATACCCATTACCAGAGATTTTCAACCCACACAGACTCACTTCAATTAAAAAAGAAAATAAAGTGTAAGAGGGGAAAGTCAGTACGTATTAAAGCAATACAAAATGTAGTGTTCTGTTACTCTATTTTTTAAGCAAATAGCGCTCAAAAGGATTTGACCCACATCACGATTATGATTTTTTGCAATCCTCCTTGATCCACTCAGTGTCAACAAAAGGCAGGGAAGGTAGGAGAGAATTGCAAATTCCAGTTATTATTTTACAACTGCGGCAAGCTTAATCATAGATGAGCCTCTTGAACTATTTCTCATCCTTGAGAAGATATGAAATTAAGCTGCCAAATGGGACTCGAAAATGTGGTTGGAGCCTATTATTATTATTGATAATAATTTTCAGCCTAATGCTTTGCAGCAAGAAATTATGTAACCTTCTAAAGATTTTTTTTTGGGGGGGGGGTGAAACCTGTGCCTGTTTACCTCATAGTGAGCACAAAACAGAATTGAATAGTGTAAATCAAAACCAAAGTGGACAGAAAAACATACTGGTTATGCATGTCACAAAAGTTTGGTTTATTCTATTCTTCTATTTTAACTACTTTGTCCTCAACAGAAATACTATAAAAAAATAAAAAGTTATATTGCAATCCTATGCATATTGACTCAAAAGAAAGCACCCCCAAATTCAATGAGATTTTCTCCCATTGTAAGTGGGCATAAGTTATCATTTTTATTTTTTAAAAAACAGCTCCTGCTAAAAGTGGGAATGCAACCCTAAATGCTACTTCATTCTCAATATTGTTTTGGTGCTTAGATTATTGGAAGATCTTCATTTTAGCTGCCAGCCGACCAGGAATCAAATATCATTTTTGCCGGGACTGTGTCTTCAATCGCCATTCCTAAAATAAACAACAATTGACATCACAGTCAACAAGGATGAGGGGAACCCCACAGTATTTTCTGGAGGAAAAGACTGATCAGATCATATACAAGAATTTTAAAATCTGCCACTTCTACTGCATTCTAAAATACCCCAAAGAGTCTGCATATTAAGCAAATTTGCACATAAATTGGTCCATCTGATACAGGTGTGGGGAACCATTAATCCTCCAGATCTTGAACTCCGACCATGCTTGCTGGGGCTGATGGGAGTTGTAGTTTAGCAACAGCTGGAAGACCCAAGGCTCTAATACTATCTACACCAACCTTCTCCAGTATGCTGCCCTAGTGCCACTTCCACCAGTGCCACCACGCATTTGAAGCACATAACTTCTCCCAAATAATCCTGGGAACTGTAGTTTGTTAAGAGGGCTAGGAACTGTAGCTCCCAGCGTTCTTTGGAGGAAGCTGTGTGCTTTAAATCAGGGTTTCCCAAACTTGGGTCTCCAGCTGTTTTTGGGGAGGGAGGGGACTGACCACTGATCCTGCTAGCTAGGGAGGGTGGGAGTTGTAGTCCAACAACAGCTGGAGAACCAAGTTTGGGAAACCCTGCTTTAAGTGTACAGTGTGTAAAGGTAAAGGTAAAGGGACCCCTGACCATTAGGTCCAGTTGTGGCTGACTCTGGGGTTGCGGCGCTCATCTAGCTTTATTGGCTAAGGGAGCCGGCGTTTGTCCTCAGACAGCATCCGGGTCATGTGGCCAGCATGACTAAGCCGCTTCTGGCGAACAAGAGCAGCACATGGAAACGCCGTTTACCTTCCGCTGGAGCTGTACCAAATTGATCTACTTGCACTTGACATGCTTTCGAACTGCTTGGTAGGCAGGAGCTGGGACCGAACAACGGGAGCTCACCCTGTTGCGGGAATTCGAACCGCCGACCTTCTGATTGGCAAGTCCTAGTTTCTGTGGTTTAACCCACAGTGCCACCCGCGTCCCTTGTGTAAGCAGCCTCAATTACAGTGTGTAAGCAGCCTCAATTACTCCAGAGTGGCAAAAAAGATGACAAGACCCCAATGACCCTCACCTAATTAATTGGCCTGCTGACCAACAATTGCAACCAACCCATGTCCCATTTTCAGGAAGTTGCCCTCCATGGAGCAAGAATAAAGGCAGCATGGCCCTGCCCACTGATCAAAGGGTTGCCAGCTCCACACCCTACAGGCACAAAGTCCATCTAGACTGCCAGCTGTACTCAGGGAAGAAAGGCACACGCACAACTATTATTTAGCACCGAGGCTGTTCCAGAAGTACTTTCATTCATTTAAGAACTCACTTCGAAGGGAACTACTTCCTCTGAGTCACAGCTCTAAAGCTGGTCCTGCAGAGTTCCAAAAGACAACAGAAAGGGGACAGCTCAGTTGGTAGAGCACAAGTCTCTTAATCTCAGGGTAGTGGGTTTGAGCCCCACATTGGACGAAACGTTTCTGCATTGCAGGGGGTTGGAATAGATCAGGGTTTCCCTAACTTGGGTCTCCAGCTGTTTGTGGACTACAATTCCCATCATCCCTGTCCACCGGTCCTGCTAGCTAGGGACGATGGGAGTTGTAGTCCCAAAACAGCTGAAAACCCAACTTTGGGAAACCCTGGACTAGATGATCCTTGTGGTCCCTTCCAATTGTTATTATTCAAGTTGTGCCTGGTGCCGATTGGCTGATGCCCCCCTTGATGTCACAAAAAACCTCCCACCCAGTTCCTGGCAAGGTTTTGCACTTCTATATTTTTTTTTAATGAGGCAAAGGAATGGATAAATGCTTAATGTGACAGCTTGCCCGGAAGACAGGGCTATCGGCTACTAGGCATGATGGTCTTGTTCTCCCTTCACTGTTGGAGACTGTATGCTTCTGTTGCTGGGAATTGCAAATGGGGAGAAGAAGAAGAAGAAGCAGAGTTTGGATTTGATATCCCACTTTATCACTACCCGAAGGAGTCTCAAAGTGGCTAACATTCTCCTTTCCCTTCCTCCCCCACAGCAAACACTCTGTGAGGTGAGTAAGGCTGAGAGACTTCAGAGAAGTGTGACTAGCCCAAGGTCACCCAGCAGCTGCATGTGGAGGAGTGGAGATGCGAACCCGGTTCCCCAGATTACGAGACTACCACTCTTAACCACTACACTACACTGGCTCTCATGAGTGCTGTGTCACTCATGCCCTGCTCTAGGGCTTCCCAGAGGCATCTGGTTGGCCTCTGTGAGAACAGGATGCTGGACTCGATGGTCTATTGGCCTGATCCAGCAGGACTCTTGTTAAGTTCTTAAGTCTTTGCAGTGTGTGTGTGTGGGGGGGGGAATAGTTATGATCAGAGCTCAAGTAGTGTACAAAGATGAACAATACATTCATTCATCTTCGCTTCCCTGTTGATGCTAATGGCTTCTGTCTTGTGTCTTCGAGGAGGGAAAGAGGCATGTTAAATAGGGGGGAATCCGTTGTCAGTTTGAAGATAATCGCCAGCATTCTCACGCAAGGGGGGGGGTAAATAATAAAGCGTTGTCTTGCACTCTAATTCAAGCACAGCAGGGGACCATTCTTACCCAGGGACTTGAACACAGTGGTTTCCTCACGCAAAGCTGGTTTTGTTCCCAGCACCACCTCACCCAGCTCTGCAAAAATCTCTGCCTGCAAAACAAACACAGACCTTTTGTCATCTTCCGGTGCCACCTTTTTCTGAGGTTCAGACTGAGTGCGGAATGGCTTTCAAAGCCAAAACAGCACCACAAGTGGAAGGTATAGAAAGACTTTGGGGAACCTGAGATTTTGCAGGAAATCCTGTGGGGTGGGGGAAGAGCTTTGGGTTCTCCCCACGCTGAGCTCTGGCCCTGCCTTTAAACACAGTTACAAGTTCCTAAGGGTTCTTAAGATTTCAGTCCCCACAGAAAACCAAGTGCACCAGCACTTGGCACCCTCAGGCAGCTAGCAGAGACTGAGGGTCAAGACATCTGCCCTGAATGGCTCAGTCTGTGTAAACCACCATTTTAACTTCCCCACAATCCCCCCTGGTGTAGAGTCACTCCTGGGGATTGTGGGAGATTAAAATGGCAGCTCCAATGGAAGTAACAATGCTACACAGGGGGATTGTGGGAAATTTAATTTGATGGAACGGTGAGGTAAACCTGTGGCCAGCACCCCACAAAATATAAGAGTCCTTTAGAGGGTCCTTTGCCAAAATTTCCCCTCAAACTTGGGGTCATCCCCACAGAAATCTCCAAAAGTACTTGTTGCTACCTTGGGCAAAGGTGTCAGGAACTTCACTCAAAGTTTATTGGTAAAAGAAGGAGACACACAACTCTCCACCCCCTGCTCCTACTTGCTTACCCCCGATAAAATGACATCTCCCGATTCACGGATAGCAGCCTCTCTCGAATCAACGTACAATACAGAGTTCCTCATCGCATCGTCATCCAGCTCCCGCCAGTCAGGCCTGCTTGCTCCAACGGCTAAAAGTCAGAATCAAACAAACTGGAGATTTATCTCCCAAGATGAAAAGGGTTAATACAATCACCCCAACCTTATGGGTACAATTTGTTCACAATTGACAATTGCCTTTGAATTACTCTTGCAGAGCAGGAGCGATATTAATGCTTAACACGCAAAGGGTGCTGAATGACTCCAGGGCTTCATTCATGCTCTTGTATCATTTACAGTAGCCACATCTACACCATATACGGAAAGCAGTATCATACCACTTTAAACAGAGATGGCTTCCCCCAAAGAACCTGGGTGCTATAGTTTATTAACAGTGGTTAGGAGATCCCTGTTCTCCTCACAGACCTACAATTCTCTCTTTTTTTCATTTCACATTTACCGTATTTTTTGCTCTATAAGACTCACTTTTTCCCTCCTAAAAAGTAAGGGGAAATGTGTGTGCGTCTTATGGAGCGAATGCAGGCTGCGCAGCTATCCCAGAAGCCAGAACAGCAAGAGGGATTGATGCTTTCACTGCGCAGCGATCCCTCTTCCTGTTCTGGCTTCTGAGATTCAGAATATTTTTTTTCTTGTTTTCCTCCTCTAAAAACTAGGTGCGTCTTGTGGTCTGGTGCGTCTTATAGAGCAAAAAATATGGTATTTTATTTTGCAACACAAACACACATAACATTGAAAAAGAAAACTTAAAAAGAAAATACAAAAACCAATATGAAAAAGTAATGAACACGTAACCATATTTCAGTTCTTCTTTTCTTCTAGCTGACTTCCTTCATCCTCAACGCAGGTCTGCTTTTATATTTAGTAAACTGTTTCCTTTGCACTTCGTCCCCCCCCTTTTTCTTTCTTTTTTAAGCTTTTATACCATAATTTGTTTTGCAAAACTTAATCAAAACAAGTCCAGGTATTAATTTGAGGGCACTGCTTTTTAAGATAATCTCTGTATATTCCCCATTCTTTTTTAAAAATTTGTTTAGACTGACCCCTAATTGCATCTGTCATTCTAACCAACTCAATGTAGTCAAATAAATTTTCTTGCCATTCTTTTTTTGTTGGTGCTGTCTCATTTTTCCAATTTTTTACAATTAGGGTTCTCGCTGCCACTGTTGCATATAGGAATTATTTCCCTGTTTTCCCTAATGATATCTGAATCTAGTATACCCAATAAAAAAGCTTCTTCCTTTTATCTTTTTCTTTTTACAAAAGTTTGTTTAAATGTTTTATTTAACTCTTCATATACCATATGCCAGAAACCCTTAATTTTGTCACAGGTTCACCTACAATTCTCAATGAAACCTATGAACCCAGACTGGCCCCACCTCCGAGACCATTTCCCACATAAAATCCTGCCCGCAAAGATGGAAGCAGTTTGCTCAGACTGGCTCCATTCATCCTAAACTGGGATAGCTCAGCTGGTAAAGCCTGAGACTCTTAATCTCAGAGTCATGGTCAAAGGTTTCCTGCATTGCAGAGGGTTGGACTTGCTGAGCCTTATGGTCTCTTCCGACCGAGAGACAACAGGGCTGCTTAAGGTGCCCGACTACAAAATTGTAGAAATCGAGAGATATATAGCTGCACCAGCAGCATATCTCTTTTTTCCTGTATCCAAAAATGCAAGAAGGGCTTTTACACTTGTCAGACGCTCGGCTCTGCCCTTGGAAGGATCCTTTTAAAAAAGTCCCATATGACCAGAGAATTTGCACCTGTCCTTTGGGGGATATAGGAAGCCCTGAACACATGTTTTCTAGATGTCCCTTTTACGATGAGGCACGTAGAGAAACCATTGACCCCCTGCTCGTGAGGCTTACTGACCTCCCGGTAAAGCAAAAATTTGATCTTCTCCTGTTAGGCAAATACCACAAGACGACCCAGATTTTTGCCAGATTCCGCGCACAGATCTGTAGGCACAGACCATCCCCCGATTCAATCTAGTTTGTTAAGAAAAGTCCCAAACCCGGACCCACGGGCGACTTTGGGTCATTTCTCTAAGGCAGTCTATTTTAAAGTTTTTATGTGTTTATATGCCTATCACACTTTTAAACTTAAAATCTATTGTTGTATATTGTTTTCAATGTTTGTTTTGCTATTGGGATTGTAGTTCCATTTGTGTTTCTGAAGCTGGTCTCTGAGGGTAATAAATTTCATGTTCACCTGGTCTCTTCCAACTCTATAATTCTATGGTTTTATGCTCCCCAGCTTCAACCACTTCAAGTTCACCCAAGAGTGGAAAGTGGCAAGCATACCAAAATGGAGGCAATGGCTATTTGGTAGCACAAGATCTCCCAGCCCCAAGTCCTCTCCTCACAGTGAAGAAGCCAGACTCCTCATGTGCAATCCCAGACCCACTGATTTTGAGCCATATGATGCATGGAGGGGGACACTTCTGCAGTAAGAATATCCCCTAGCATTTAGATCCCTCCCATTCAGCTAGTGAGGCTTGCAGGGCGCCTTACGAAGACATAGCTCTAAAGCAGCCTTTCTCAACCTGTGGGTCCCCAGATGTTGTTGAACTACAACTCCCACCACCCCTAGCTAGCAAGGCCAGAGCTCAGGGATGATGGGAGTTGTAGTCCAACAACATCTGGGGACCCGCAGGTTGAGAACCGCTGCAAGGGAAACGGGAAAGGGGGCGGGGGGGGGGGAAAGCAAATTCACACATTCTTCTGCTTAACAGTTCTTCAACTTACAGCTGATGTCACTGGTGGTCCTGGCTGTCTTGCCCTCAATAAAGAGCATGTAACTGTTTTACATATGTTTGTGAACTGCTTCAGGGTGTCTTGTTGCAAATGAGTCGTAAATGAAATTGACCAAAATTAATTCCAATGAAAAGAGCTCCCATCAGCTCGCAGCAAAAATAAAAAATAAAATAAATAAGGAGCAGTCCTTCCCCAGAAGCACTCTTTCCCCTCAGATAAGATCCTGCCATACAGTTCTTCCTTCAGACAACTGGCATGATGTTAGTCAGAATCCTCACAAGAGGCAATAGAATCCTACACTACTGGATCAGGGCAGGCTTAGCTATTTGGCAAAGTGTTTTGTTTTGTTTTAATGTACCAATGTGGTGCACTTTCAACCCATCATCTAGTTGAAAGCCCTGACACATGTGACAATATTTGATTGCATCACTTGAAATTTTAGGAGAGATTTTTGCTGTAGGGCTGTTGTTTTTTGTTTTCATCCAAAACCTATAATTAAGGAGAATGAGCCACCATCAGCCTTCTTTTAAGAGGATATAAAAAATGTGACAGAAAGTGGCTATACAAACATAGAAAGACTCACATATTTTTCTGAAAACCTGCTCAAGCGTTAGGAATGAGTTCCCTGGGGTGACGCAAGGAGAGGCAGCCCTTTGTTTGTGTGTTGCGGTGGTGAACGAGGACACCAATTGTCCCCTGACCCTTCGTGGTGTGCCTCTACACAATATGAAGAATCCATCACACAAAGCATTGATTATGAAGGGGTGGGTGGAAATCGGTCAGACAGTGATGAAATCTCGAATTGCACCTCCCATTCGCTTCCATGGATCCCTTTCTATGTCCTTTGCAGACAACGCAGGGCAGAAGTGGAGTGGGCAATATGATACAACTAGATTCTACTCAGAGAAGAAATTAATGCACACGATTAACTGAGGTTCATTAATCTCAATGGGTGTAATATAAAGAAAGGAGACATCTGCAGGGACCTTTTAACCCTGGGAGGTCACTCCAGGAAGTAAAATGAGAATAAACCAGAGTTCAAAGAAATTTTCCAATAAAGAACCGGCGGGTTCTTCATCTGCTGTGAAGGTATTAATCAGAGAATAGAGTCAAACCCTGAAAAGAGATGTGATCGGTCCCCACTCAGAGAACTCACAATGGAAGAAGGAGCCAACTCCTAGAAGCCGAGGTCCCGTCCCCCCCAATAATATACTTGAGGGGGCTGTCCCTCAAAGTTCATGGGCATTGCTGTTCAAATGGGATGTGCACGCTGTGTCTTGTGATTGATAGGGCAGGGTGGGGTGGTTCCTACCTAGGGCCCCCCAATATTATATTCAAATTGATGTGCCTATCATGAAATTCTGTACTGAGTAATTAGTGAATGTGGAATACAGGTGAGCCTCAGGAATGTTTTTATGTTTTCTACATTGTGTAGAAGCGAATCCTACCGATTTTAACAGACTGCAGTACAATGTTAGTGTGCCTCGCATCGATATTGTAAACAGATTAGCACCCCCTCTTTAAAACCAGTTAATCTGGATCAGCTAATCCTTTGCAAGATGCTTTAGCTAAAGCTCATTAAAGCAAGGTGCTTTTCTTTTTTCCTTTTCCAACTAAGCCTATTTCTGGGAGCAGTGCTAACACTTTTGTTGAATGTTGACGGCCAATCTTGCACCACACCTAGATCCTTCTGCTCAAGGTTAGGACAACAGTCTCACTACTCCACTTATGCTACTGCTTCCGACTGTTTCTTGGGAAGAAAGGCTTGTTGTCACCGCCGACCAGCTGATAAGAGCATATGTACCTAAGAGTCTGGTGGATCAGGTTGATGGCCCATCTAGTCCAGCCTCCTGGTCTCATGGTGGCCAACCAGATGCCTGAGGGAAAGTCCCCAAGCAGGACCTGAAGCCACAGCTCTCTCCCCTTCCTGTGGTTGCCAGCAAATGGTATGCAAAAGCGTTGCTACCTCTGACCATGGAGGCAGAGTATAGCCATCAAGGCCAACAGCCATCAATTTACCCCCTCCTCCATCATGGTGACAGCAGGAGATGGACAAGTGAGTGGCTTTGCCAACTGAGATGTTGGCCAGGGAGGGGAATCAAGGATCCTGACCCCTTGCTTTAAATCCTTCAGTAAAGGAGAGTCCATCACTTCCAAAGGAACCTGCTTCTGTGTTGAACAGCCCAAATTATTTTGAAAATCTTCCTAACGTTTAGCCCCAAAACCCTCCCTTATCACTTTAAGGAGCTGTTTGGGAACACCAGAAAACAGGTCCCATCCCCCCTAGTATTTGGACCACATCACGCTCCCTGGTTCCAACAAAGTCAATCACCCCTTTAAGTATCCAGAGAGGGAGAAATCCATACACAAAGCATACATTACCGTTGATATGGGCCCCGGGCTTCACCCATTCTCCGTGCAAAATTGGCTTTGTTGCCATCGTGACTGTTATGATCACATCCGCCCCGGTGACAGCCTCCTGAGCAGAAGAGCAGACTTGGACTGGCCCATGAACCGAGCGCGCAAACTTCTCTGCCTTCTCCTTGGTCCGATTCCAGATCTTCACCTACAAGGGAAATGGAGCGGCTGGTCTTTGACCCTCTCGGGAACTACATAAAATCTTGGCCTCAAGGAAGTCCTACAATGTGGACAGGGGACCTGTGGACACTTTTCCAGGAGAGTGCAAACACAAGAAAATGCATAAAATTAATTTGCCAGTCCCTAATGCATTCCTCAGCCATGCTTGGCCCCATGCAATGGCAGTGAGGTCCAGGACCAGGCAAAAGAAGCAGCAACATGCAATCAGAAGATGGACAGTGGCTTCAGGTGTTATAACAGGGTATTTTATATCCCTAGGATCATAGAATCATAGATCTGGAAGGAAACTGGAAGGTACCCCAAGGGTCATCTAGTCCAATCCCTTGCAGTGGAGGAATCATGCAGATGGCCATCCAACCCCTGTTTGAAAACCTCCAATGAAGGAGAGTCCACCACCTGCCCAGGTACAGTCTTACCTCGGTTGATGAATGCCTTGGGAGTCAAACGTTTTGGCTCCCGAACGCCACAAACCTGGAAGTGAGTGTTCTGGTTTGCAAACATTCTTTCGGAACCCGAACATCCGCTGTGGCTTCCACAGCTTCTGATTGGCTGCAGGAACTTCCTGCAGCCAATCAGAAGCTGCACCTTGGTTTCCAAACGTTTTGGAAGTTGAATGGACTTCCGGAACGGATTCCGTTCAGCTTCCAAGGTACAACTGTAGTCCTTTCCACTATCAAACAGCTCTTACTGTCAGTGAGTTTTTCCTAATATTTAGTTAGACTCTCCTTTCTTGTCATTTGAATCCATTGGTTCAGATCCTAACCTCTGGAGCAGCAGAAAACAAGCTTACTCCATCTTCCATGTGCCAGCCCTTGAGATGTTTGAAGATGGCTCTCATATGTCCACTCAGACTTCAAATCAGCCAATCCTAGTCTTCTTAGAGGTCTGTTTTTTTGTTCCAAGAGGTGGGTGGTCTCTTGCCTCCACAGCTAAATTTTATTATTGCCCCTGCAGCTGAATGGTATTCTTGTAATTGCTATAATCTCAAGTGGGCCTGGCTAGCCAAGGAGTTAAGCAGGAGTCAACAATCTGTGCACACACTCTAAGGTAGCCAGGCCAGAATGTCTACAAAGTAATCCCAACCTTTCCTTACTCTCTCCTCCCTTGTAGCACCAGGCCAGGCCTTGCCACCCCCACCAGTCACTAATCTGGCACAGGATCCCTGATCCCATCAAAAACAACAGAGTTCATTTCTGGAGCGGAAAACAAATCCCCAGGCTACATCTTCAGCAGCTTTGAAAAACATGGAAATCATGAAAGTCAATTTGCTGGCAACGGTTTCTTTTTTGATCCCTGTAATGCTGATGCTGACTTTGTTCTCTATCTGATTTTCTCCGCAGGATGAGAAGTGAAAGAAGAAAATAGTAATTAACTCTGTAAGAGTTGAAAGAGAAACTTATACAATATTGTAGTATACCTAAGAACCCTTGATGATTGGTTCAATTTTATCAATGCTGCAGCCTCTGCTAAAATGTCTTTTTCTTTCTTTGCAAAACTGGGGGTGGGGGGAACAAATCCCTGAGAGGCTGAGATGCCCTCAGAGATATCTTCTTCCTTAACTCTATGCCATGATTTACACTTGGCTCCAGCTGGTGAATTTTGGGCGTCCTAGAAACAAAGCAGACCCCACAACCTTGAAGTATGCCCACCCCTGATTAAGAGGTTAAGGGGAGAGGGACCAAAAGGTGCCTGACAAACCAACAGGTACTCTGTGCTTGCTAGAAATGCCTAAGGCAGAGGCTATTGCTGGGTGGTAAATTTGTTTAAAAATAAATAAAAATCAGTTGGTTAAATTGAACTTCCTACCTCCTTAAACGAGAACATCTCTGTGAAAATCTCATAGTGGCTGTAGGCTTGAACACCAGCTCCTAGGATACACAGCACTTCAGAATCCACCGGCATTAAGTACTGAAAATATATCCAACAGGGGAAGGTAAACAACTTGTTCATATGGCACCTTTCATATTAACAGCTTTTGCCAACCCTAAAGTCCATGGCCTTCTATCAGGGGTGGGGAACACCCAGCCTGCAGGTCAATCCTGGCCTGCTGGGTGGGGGTTGTTTCCAATTTGGCCCACCATGCCATTTTCCAGGGCCGTCTTTACCCAGGGGTGCAAGGGGTGCGAGACACCCGGATGCTGAATTCTGGGGGGTGCCAGGAGCCTGCTGTTGAACCCACCTAAGCTCTTAACTATCTACCCATTATGAAATAATAAATAATTTTGATCAAGCTAGTAAATACATATATACCTAGGTATTACCAAAATGCATACCTACTGTTTCACTAAAGGCACTTGTCATTCACAACAGGGGTGCTTGTCAGACTCAACGACAGCTCTTGACATTAACTCTTGAAATTAACTCTTATATCAAAATATTATGTTGGGTGCCTAAACAATAAAGGTAAAGGGACCCCTGACCATTAGGTCCAGTCGTGACCGACTCTGGGCTTGCAGCGCTCAACTCGCTTTATTGGCTGAGGGAGCTGGCGTACAGCTTCCAGGCCGTGTGGCCAGCATGACTAAGCCGCTTCTGGTGAACCAGAGCAGCGCACGGAAACGCTGTTTACCTTCCCGCCGGAGCGGTACCTATTTATCTACTTGCACTTTGACGTGCTTTCGAACTGCTAGGTTGGCAGGAGCAGGGACCCAGCAACGGGAGCTCACCCTGTTGTGGGGATTCGAACCACCAACCTTCTGATTGGCAAGTCCTAGGCTCTGTGGTTTAACCCACAGCGTCACCCGCGTTCCGCCTAAACAATACTTATAAGTTTAAGTGTGGTGGTGTTGTATACTTAAGTATAAGTATATTGTAAATAAATGAGCAAATAAAGTAGTTTCTTTTTCCTCCTTTCATAAACAAGAGATAAGGCGTAAGCGTGGTGTCTGACATAAGCATAATAAAAGTTAATTTGGGGGCTAAACTAAATTTTGGGGCGCTGTGCAGATTTTTGCACCCTGGCGGTGCATATGGTAAAGACAGGGCTGCCGTATTCTCCAAACCACAGTCCCTTTCTTCGTCCTACTTAATAAAATGCACCCACCTTGGTGGCTATCGCAGAAACGGCCGCTGTCCGTTTGGCTGTTATGATGCTACCATCCATGACCTTTCCAAAGGAGAACATCAAACAGAACGAAAAGAAAAACGGCAAGATGGAAGATAAATACAAAATGCTTTTCCTCAGGCGGACAAGGCCCATCCATCCAACACCTTAAAGTTGTATCATGCCACTTTAAACAGTCATGGCTTCCTCCCAAAGGATCCTGGGAAGTGTGGCTTGTTAAGATGAGAGGCATTAGGAGATCCCTGATCCCTGCAGAGAGCTACAATTCCCAGATTGGATTGACAAACGATCCCTCCTCCAAGGGAATACCCCTCACACATTGATAGAGGTGGGGGCCATGCCCTTCTCCGTCCTACATGTGACAGGCAGTGGTGACTAGGGCCCTTTGGGGCTGATTGGGAGGGAGGCAAGGAGTCCAACAGAAGGTGGCGCCAGAGATAAAGACAGACAGAGCCTGTCTATCCCCTAGTTTTGTCCCTATCTCCTACCTGATGGGTTCTGCAAGCACAACTCTGAGATTAGGGAGGAGGAGGAGTAGAAAGCTGACAGCTGGGGCCGCCTCCTGGACTGAGTGCGAGGAAAAAGGCAGGCAGGTGGTCAGGTGGCTGAGGGCAGCCTGAGGTTGGTGGGGCTAAAGCGGTTCAAATTATGCTCACTGTTGCCTTGGGAGACTTACAGCTTTGAGAGTGCCGTTGCTTGGCTCAAACAGGAGCACTGTTGCTTGATGGGAAGGAACTGCAGGATCCGTCACGTGCTCATAAAAGGTCACCAGCTTGGTTGTCAAAGCGTCATCTTTCTCGCTGTAGGCAGGCATGATTCCTAAAAAGCTTACAAGCAGAAGACGGAGGCGGCACAATGATCATTCAAGTGTGGTCTCTTCCCTCAGCAACTAAGCTAGCAAGTTAATCTAAAACTTTAAAGAAAGTGTAATGAATAACTTAAGCCACCAGGGTTGGAAGAAAGTTCGAGGGCTCTTTCATAAGTGCTGGCCAGTGTGGACATCTGCTTTTAGTGGCACCCATCTGGGAGGAGTCCTAGGAAACTTATTTTCATGGTGCCAGCAGCTCCAGGGGCTAACAGTTTTCCCCTGCCAATGCCTTCATTGACACACACTGCCAAGCCAACACTTGGCACAGGGAGGACCAGAGATTTCCTACCCCTGTTTTATAGGCAGCCCAAGGCAGGTGTCAGCGAAAGACCTTGGGGATTATTTCTATGTTCATTTCTTTACTGAATTTTTACCCTGCCTTGTCGCGAATTCTCTGCGGCGCTTTAGCAGAAACGCTCAGAGTTCCAGGTTCTTCAGTGCAGTGCAGTATATTTATTGTGAGCAAAAATATACAAATATATACAATAATCTACAGGTTATAATACACGAGCAGTTCATACAGTCAAACAGAGTACCTGGCTGCACCTTAAGGCAAATAGGAAGACCTTTCTATCTCTCTCTCTCTGGCCACACTCTTCTACACCACCCCCTTACTGCTGGACAGGTTTCCCTTTTAAACCGATGGCAGCCAATCAACTGACAGCACTTCCATAGAAAGTATTGTAGGCTGATCGCATCAGCCAGTTGCATCAAGCTAGCAAACTCAAGCCTGCAGACTTACTATCTCACACAGCATTCTGTGAATTCCTCCCAAAGAAACCCAGGGTGGCAAACCTCAAGCAAATCGCCACAGATGCAAGCGTTCAGGAACTTGTTTTCTCTTCCCCCCCACAAAAGAAGTCTTCTAAAATTGCAGGCTAAGCTTTTGCAACAATTTGTTTAAGGTTCAGTAGGTCTGCTGTGGGTGTGTGAACACACAAACATACACACAAAGTTGCCACAATAAATCTGTTCTCATGTTCTAGCAGACCACAAGGCTCCTGATGTCATTATCAACAGCTCACAATTTGGTTAGCTCATTTTTATGTGCAAAGTGCTTGGGTGACTGAATTCTGCTTGGAAAGAACAACAGTTTGGAACTGTACAGAGTCAATCAAACCAGAAACCTGTGTGCCATCAGCACAGTGAGCATTCATGACAGCAGCATCTGGGCACAACAAGGATTTTGGGGACACCCTAAAGACTCAGAGTGCAACCATAACACCCTGATTAATGTCAAAAGCACAGGCAGTCAAGAAGCTGGCACGGAGAGTCCCAAAAATGGGCATTATGGGGTGTGCGGCAGAACTGGGTCAACCACAGATCTGCAGGATCCTAAGCCAATCAGTTTCCCAGAGAAGGGCTCAATTACACCACCTTGAAAGATTACCCAAAAAAATGTTCCTACATCTTCCAACTTGGCCAGCAGGCTGCGGATGCTTCCTAGGCTGGCTTCATTAATTACGAACCTTGAATTTTGGGTCCCCTCCATACGGGTGCCAAAGTTTTGCAGCCACTTTGTAGCGCAAACCCTGCGTTTTGTAGCATGCCACGTCCCCAACTGAGTAATTGATACAGTACATCAAGCTGTGGTTCCAAGTTAACACCCAGAAATCCAGCCTTGTCCAATTCACTCCAAACTGGTGCCAAAGTTTTATAGCTGTGTTGTAGGGTTTTGTCGTTTCGGGGCTTGCAGTTAATGAAGCTTCCCAGGTCCCCTTCCAAGAATTCTCTGCCCATCTACAATCCTATGCCCACTTTCCTAGGAGTAAGCCCCATTGAACCACAGGGCTTACTTCAGAGAGCACACAGAGGCATAGAATTGTAGAGTTGGAACATACCTAAAGGGTCAACTAGTCCCCAATGCTGGAATTACATGTGCAGGCATGCACTCAAATGTGCGTTCATGGACTCTAGGGTCCAAAAGGGAACAAAATGGGGAAAGTATAGCCTTTGATGACTGTAGGTAAAAATTTTCTAAAAAGCAAAAGTGACCCTTTGCAATGGGTGCAAGACAGCACAATTCTATGCATGTTCATTCACAAAACTGGATGCAGGCGTTAGTCGTGCTTAGAGCGGACCCCATGAAATCACTTGAACTTAAAGTTAGTAACCGCTGAGAGCACAACTCAGCACTGCTCACTCCCTTTCTTCCCTGTGCAGTGAAAACAGCAATTGCTTTTATTATGAACACATTATGAAATTCAGCAAAATAAAACCCAACAATTATATGACTATGCTTGAAACTGGTTTGTACACGCCCAACTGGATTCCTTATTTTGTTCTATTTAGTTTACTGAACATTAACCTGTGCCAATTTAAAATATTTTTTAAACTTGTAAATTGTGTGTGTGTAAGAATAGTTATTTCTTCTTCGTTGTTTGTCTTTTTTAAATTGCTAAGTTGCCCCATCGATCTCAACACATCTACTCAAAGCATGACTAACACCACAATTTTTAACCATGTCTACTCAAGGTCCATGGGGTCACGAAGAGTCGGACACGACTAAACGACTAAACAACAACAACAACAATTCAAAAGGAAGCGTTACTGAATGCATAGGGAGCTCATTCCCAGGTAAAGTGGGTTTAGGATAGCTGACTATGTCTGGATCCAACCTATAACCAGATCCCATGGATTTACTCCCAGTGCTGCGGGCACAGAAAGATCCCAGTTTCTCCAGGTTAATTTCGTCAGCTTACATCCGTAGGAAACGTCAACCAGCTTTAGTCGTGCTGGGAGCTGACCCGCGGCTGAAATTCTTGGAACGAATTCCGCCGGGTCTCCTCTTATGTAAGACTTAGTTGGATTGCATTCAACTAACTTGTACTCAGAGCGGACCAGTTAATAAGCGTGAATAAGTGGGGTCCATTAGATCCAATGGGTCTACTCAGAGTAGCAGTAACTTGAATCCAGGAGTGCCAGCTCCCGCGACCGGGGATACCCTGGGTCGTGGGTGCCAGGCACGCTGTACCGAAATATGTGGGTGCCCGGCCCCTTCATGGGGAATTTTGTGGGTGCTGGGGCACCCAGAACCCCAAAGAATTAGTCCCTATGCTTGAATCAAAGTCATTATACTTACAGCATGTCATGGCGGGCGGGGGGACATCCCTACAAACCGACCCCCCCCAAAAAAACCCCACATGACCTGGGGATATACCTAGCAGGAGATCCCCATCCCGATCCCGGATCCTCACCCGCTGTACTTCTGGATCGGCACCACGGTGCGCACCGGCTGCACGACGCCTCCCTCGGCGCCGCTGGAGAAGTTGGCCAGGGCCGTGGCCAGGGCGGAGATGAGCCGGCTGGCGGCGGGGAAATGTTTCTCCACTTCTCCGGCCGCCAGGAAAACGGGAGGCGGCACGGCGTGGCTCATGGTGGGGACTGCGGAGAGCAGAGGCGGCGGCGGCGCCCGGTGCCCCTCGACTGAGAGCCGCCCGCTGCCAGGCGCCCCCCCGCCCCGTCTCGCCGCCCGAGAGGCGGCGGCGCCCAGCACCCCCTGGCGGACGAGACGCCTGCGGCTCCCGACGGAGCTGGTCCGGGACCTCTGAGCAGGGAACCCCCAGGAAGGTCCTCGGAGGGTTGCCGGCTTCGATCTGGCAAAATTCAAGGACCGGTTGGGGGAAGCGGTTTCCCCACCCACCCTGTGCTGAAGTGACTTGAAAGCAAATAAACTGCAATCTGTTGCAAGCTAACGGGGTGGCCCTCTGGAATTTGTCACACACACCCCTGAATTTGTAAATCTGTCTGCACTTGGCTACCCAGAGCCCTGGACGTAGCCAAGGGGAGCAGGGAGGGGCAACTGCAACCCATTAAATCAATCAAATTCAATAAAAATACATAGCAAACTGAGGTTCGCCCCCCACAACAAAAACCCTGGCTAGACCCATGCCCAGAGCTTATGCATGACTTCCATTGTTGGAAGTTGCCCAGAGTGGCTGGGGAAGCCCAGCCAGATGGGTGGGGTACAAATAATAAATTGTTGTTGTTATTATTATTATTATTATTATTCCACGCACCCTTTCGAACACATGCGTTTGGAGAGGATCCCTAACTTGGCAGAGAGACAGACAGAGAAGACCTGAACTAAAGGACAAAACTGTATCATTACAGGACATAGCATTTTACATTACAATACGGGACTATCCTGTATTATACAGGACAGGTGGCAACCCTGCTAAGGGATGGATCTACTATGAATCAAATGAAGCTTAAGCTTCAGGGAGGAGCCCCAGAAGCGACTTTAGTCCACATTGCTTAACCTTTTGGGGTCTACTAGACCCAACTGGAGTCGCACGACTCAAATTGATTATTATTTTTATTGTATTTATTTCAAAAGTCCCAAAGTTTAAGAGCACAGGTGTTGTAAAGGTGTGGTGATCTTTCAAGGAACAACCCCATTGAAGAAGGCAACAGTGGTTACCAAGACCTTGGTGTCAGTTGTGAAGGTTAGTCATGCCTATTGATTTCGATGGGTTTCCCTTAGCTAACTTTTACTTATAGTTAACCTGTTGATATTAATAGAGCTAGTAATCATATCTTAATTTCAATGGCTCTGCTCTGAGTAGGTCCAACAGTGCATACAACCCAAAGGCTTTTTTTTATTAGGTATTCCAGGCTGTGAATCTCCCTTCCCAGATGGGTTCCCTTGACTCTTGCACTCTTAAGCTAAAGGCAGATCCTAAAACCTTTTGACTCTGCCAGACTTAAGCTGTGGATTAACGTCCCGCCTCCCTGTTTTTATGCTCAGCTGTTTAGTCCATGCTTTGGGTCCTGTTGTGCAAATCAGAAGTTTGGTCATTCCAACGGGGTTTACGTGTTTTTCCATCGTTTTGCTTTACTGTACTTCATGAACTTAACAAAAAGCAGGGAATGTATTATGATGAAGATAAAAATGGAAAAACTAATAAAAACTATTTAAGAAAAGAAAAGCAGGGAATGAATTCTGAAATATAAATAAACTATGTGCAAGAGTGTGCATGAGAAAGAGAGAACCTTCTTTTGATGGGTGACTTGTAGATCATCCTGGGTTTCTTCAGAGCCACTGTCTTATGGTGCTTTTAGACCTCCCAGGACAAGTGCTCTCATCAAGCTTCCCCCCCCAAGGAATCCTGGGAACTTTATGTACTTTGTTAAGAATTCCGAGAATTGTAGATGCAGGTGGCGCTGTGGGTTGAACCACAGAGCCTAGGGCTTGCCGATCAGAAGGTTGGCGGTTCAAATCCCCACGACGGGGTGAGCTCCCATTGCTCGGTCCCTGCTCCTGCCAACCTAGCAATTTGAAAGCACGTCAAGTGCAAGTAGATTAATAGGTACCGCTCCAGCGGGAAGGTAAATGGCATTTCCATGCACTGCTCTGGTTCGCCAGAAGCGGCTCAGTCATGCTGGTCACATGACCCAGAAGCTGTACGCTGGCTCCCTCGGCCAATAAAGTGAGATGAGTGCCACAACCCCAGAGTTGTCCACGACTGGACCTAATGGTCAGGAGTCCTTTTACCTTGACCTTAAGCGGAAAACACAGTTCCCAGGATTCTTTGGGGGAAGTCATGTGCTTTAAATGCATGGGGTGACCTCCACTCCTCCTGCAAGGGTCATAATTTAACTTGCGCCCCCCAAACTGCAGTGGGGCACGTACAAGACCTGGCTGCAAAGGTGCTTAAAAATGTGTGCTCCTAGTTGTTCCTTGACAAGTGGTGGCAGTTTCTGGATGGTAGTACCGCAAATCACCTTTACAGAGAGAACAAATGAAATGAATAGAGCATGCTTTAAAACAGCTGCAGCTTTCGCTCCCGATCCTCGAGAATTAAAACAATGTGAAGATTTATCAGAATTAAGGTTAATGTCCTTTCTTCTTCAAATGCAAGGGGGGGGGAGAAAATCAAATTTGCGAAACGCTCGTGAGTTACAACTTAGGTGGCTGGAGGTTCAGCCCGCGATCTAACTGCGCACAGCAGAGTTTTTAGTCCTCAGGTTCTGTTTTCGTCCTTTGCCATCCAGGATTCTACCAACTGCAAATGAGAACCGGACGTGTGTGATGATTCTTAGCGGTGAACGAGTATCCCCTTGATGGACTGGCCTGGGACGCCCTAGCCGCTTTCCTCTCCTAGTTTCCATGCTGGAACAGCGTTCCCCTACCTCTACGGGGCGGGGGGCGTTTCCCTAGTCGCAGGCCCTGGGCGCATAGACGCGAGATTATAGAAAGGCTCCGCTTTCTCTATGGTTCGGGCGGCGCGGAAAGAGTGGCAGTGCGGCGTGGACCGGAAGAGCCTTCCGCTTCCTGGGCGGCCATCTTGGATTTCTTCCCCGGGGAGGCTCCGGAGGGCTCTGTGGCGGTCGGAGACCATGAAGCCCATTCCGGCGGCGGCGCGGTGCCTCTCGGTGAGTAGCAGCGCCCTGGAGGTGGCGGCGGTGAAGGGACGGGAGCCCGGAGCAAGACAGGCGCCTGGGCCGGGGAAGGCCCGATGGAGGAAGCGCAGCTCCCGCTTCCCGGGAGCGACCTTGACTCGGGCCTTCGACCGGGGAAGGAGGGGAAAGGGAAGGCAGGCGCCTCATCCATCTCCGGGCGCCGCTCCTCCTTCTCAGCAGCCGCTTTGGGGAGAGAAGAAGGTGGTGGCAGACCCCTCTTCTGCCGGGAGGCTGAAGGTCGCTGCAGGAGCCCCGAGGTCGGCCTGGCCCTGGAGCCCCAGCACCATCGGAAGCGGTCAGTCGGCGTTTCCCCTTTAGACGTACGCAGGACAGAATGCTGTTCGCTCCGGCAGGGGGAGAAATGACCGTTGAAAACGAAGGAAAGAAATCCCCGCACGGAAACACTCCCGGCCACAAATTAGTCTCTAGGGAGAACGGCTAAGCTATTTATTTATTTCGTAAAAAAAATTACGCATCGCTAATTGCAAACAACGGCAACACATCCAAGTGCTTTACAAAAAGAGGAAACCAGAAAATTCAGGAAAAATTGCAAGAACAAGAAGCTAAAAGCAGATTAAAATTCACATCAGCGTTTCTGACTAAGCATCTGGGTAGGGTTGTCTAAGGTAAAAGACCCCTGGACGGTTAAGTCCAAAGACGACTATGGGTTGCGGCGCTCATCTCACTTTTCAGTCCGAAGGAGCCGCCATTTGTCCACAGACAGGTTTCTGGGTCAGAGCAATAGGAGCTCACCCCATTGTGCAGATTCGAACTGCTGACCTTCTGACCCGCAATTCCAAGAGGCTCGGTGGTCTAACTCTAAACGATGGTTTTTAGTGAATGTCTGCTTGATATCCATAGACTTGGAACATGGACATTCTTGTTCCTGGCATGTTTATTTTGTGCCAGTTATTTATTTATAACATACTACATATATTCTCCGGGACACGGGTGGCGCTGTGGGTAAAAGCCTCAGCGCCTAGGACTTGCCGATCGTCAGGTCGGCGGTTCGAATCCCCGCGGCGGGGTGCGCTCCCGTTGCTCGGTCCCAGCGCCTGCCAACCTAGCAGTTCGAAAGCACTTCTGGGTGCAAGTAGATAAATAGGGACCGCTTACCAGCAGGAAGGTAAACGGCGTTCTGTGTGCTGCGCTGGCTCGCCAGATGCAGCTTTGTCACGCTGGCCACGTGACCCGGAAGTGTCTCCGGACAGCGCTGGCCCCCGGCCTCTTAAGTGAGATGGGCGCACAACCCTAGAGTCGGACACGACTGGCCTGTACGGGCAGGGGTACCTTTACCTTTTTACATATATTCTCCAGGGAACTTAAGGAGCCATACATATTTCTCCTCTTACCCAGTTTTATCCTCACAACAATCCTGTGAGGTAGTTTAGGGTTAGAGGCAGTGTTAGGCCGAAGGTCACCCAGTGAACAGCATGGATGAGTTTGAACCCTGGTCTCATAGGTCATAGTCCAACACACTAACTACTACACCACATTGCTTATCTTTCAAATTTAATTGGTTGAAATGTGTATGGATCTAGCTTACCATTGTTTGTTCTCTCTTATTAGAGGAGATTTTATTCTCTCAAGACTGCGCCTAAAGTTGAAGCCCCTGGAGGAGCAGAGCGGTCAAAAGTACTGCTGCACCCCCAGGATCTTGAGGTTAGCCTGAAGAGGAAGTTATTTTGCATTTTGATATTTCTGCTAATTAGAGCAGCACATAGTGGAGCAGTGTGATTTCACGTAGACTGATGTGTCCTCTTATAAATGCAGATTGCAAAACTACCAAATGGCTTGATGATTGCTTCTCTGGAAAATTATTCTCCAGTTTCAAGGATTGGTGTCTTCATCAAAGCAGGCAGCAGGTATGAGACCACCACCAATTTGGGAACTGCTCACCTGCTCCGCCTGGCATCTAACTTGGTGGGTTTCTTCTTCAACTTCTTTGACTTTAGATTAAGGAAGAAAAGTGTTATATTCAGCTTATTTAGTGTTGGTATCCTAAAAGTGAAATTGGGAGGCTGGAAAGGGTGGGGAGGTGAGTGGAGTACTT